ACACTGGAGTACCACTACTGCAGTACTGCTGCGACAGTACTGTACTAGGGCGAGTTCGGTGTCGCCACTACAGCACTGCATTATTAAAATGCTGCTACAGTCCTGATTTACTACGGCATTCGAATATTCCTACGACAGTACTGCAACGCACTCACTGCAGGGAGTAGTAGAATGCCGCCCAACGAGAGCACTGCTAGAGCACGGCATCTACAATGCCAACACTACAATGGTACAGCACGGCTCCACAATGGTAGATCAATCTCCCTACATCACTACCACTTAAACCCTACAGTTCGAGGAGACTACAATAGGGGACTACTTCTACGACAGTACTAGAATGCGACTACGAGAGCAGGTACTAAGAGTAGGATCTTTACTGCGAAACCTGACTACTACTACTACTACTACTACTACAACTACTACTACTACTACTACTACTACTACTACTACTACTACTACTAGTACTAGTACTAGTACTACTACTACTACTACTACTACTACTACTCCGATTACAACTACAGGGCTCTTACAGTGCTGCCACTTCATCGATGCAATAATGCTACTGGCTTAGCACGGTATCAACGTACCACCGGTTCAGTACTAGAGTACCACTACGGCAGTACTACTGCCAGAGTGCTGTACTACGACTATTTCAATGCCACCACTACAGCACTACAGTACTAGAGTACTACAACAGTGCTGATAGACTGCGGCAATTGAGTAGTGCTACTACAGTAGTGTAACCACTGCAGACAGTACTACTCGTACGGATAATCTATCATAGTGCTGTTTCTAAAGTGCCACTATTGCAGTAGTACGGCACAGCCCCACAATACTGCAGCACTCTTCTTGCATACTACCACTAAAGCGCTATAGCTCGAGGGTGCTACTACTCTGCTCGAGTACTACAGTCGTGGGCTACTCCTACTGCACTCCTATGGTGCGACTGCTCGAACTAACGCTCGCGTATGACCTCTACTGCATGGCTGGGGTGGTGCTGCTACTACTACTACTACTACTACGACTACTACGACTGCTCCGACTACTACGACTACTACGACTACTACGACTACTACGACTACTACTACTACTACTACTACTACTACTACTACTACTACTACTACTACTACTACTACGACTACTACGACTACTACGACTACTACGACTACTACGACTATTACGACTACGACTACGACTACGACTACGACTACTACTACTACTACTACTACTACTACTACTACTACGGCTACTAGTACTGCTACAGTGCGACCGTACTAGAGTGCTGCTGCAGCACAACATGGTATTACCCGTACAGCCGCCACTACAATGTTACCAATACTACTGTGCTGGAACACTACTACGACTGCAATCTATCCCACTTAATACTGCAATGGTAGAGTTCCACTATTGCTACTGCCCGTATTAGACTACTATACACTACTAGAGTGCCACGAGTGCAGTACTTCTGCTAACATACTGTACTACGACACTTGTAATACCACCACTAAAGGATTTCAGGACTAGAGCGCTACAGCAGTGCTGCGATACTACGGCAATAAGAGAACACCACAACAGTACTGGAACACTACGACAGTGCTAGAATATCCCTACTACAGTATTGTAGCACACGCGCTGCAAGCAGTCGTAGAATAGTACTTTTACGAATACTGTACAAGAGCACTGCTTCTACAGCGCCACTGCTGCAATAGTACAGCACGGCCCCACAATAGTACAACACTCTTCCTACAACACCACCGCTAAAAAGCATCACAGTTGAAGGGTACTAGTACTGTACTGGAGTACGACAGTAGTGAATTACTGTTGCGCTGCAGCAGTGTGAATACTAAAGCAAGGACTAGTGTATGGTCCTTACCGCGAGACCCGAGTACTACCATTACAGCTACAGGGCTACTGCAGCGTCGTCACTTCGTTAATGCCATACTACTACTGGCTTAGCACAGTGTCAGAGTACCACTGGTCCAGCACTGCTACTACTACTACTACTACTACTACCACCACTACTATTATTACTACGACTATTACTATTACTACTACTACTACTATTACTACTACTACTACTATTACTACTACGACGACTACTACTACTGCTACTACTACTACTGCTACTATTACTACTACTACTACTACTACTACTACTACTACTACTACTACTACTACTACTACTCCTACTACTCCTACTACTACTACTACTCCTACTACTACTACTACTACTACTACTACTACTACTACTACTACTACTACTACTACTACTACTACTACTACTACTACTACTACTACTACTACTACTACTACTACTACTACTACTACTACTACTACTACTACTACTACTACTACTACTACTACTACTACTGGTTCTCCTTCTACTACTACTACTACTACTACGACAGCTACTACCACTACAACTGCTTCTTCTTCTACTACTATTTCTACTGCTACCACTTCTGCTACTACTACTTCTACTACAGCTACAGGACGAAAACAATGCTGCCATACCCTTCGTGCAGTACTACTACGGCGGTTCTAGAATGCTGCAGTAGTAGAGCACAACGAAAATATTTCACTACTACAGTACTATTACTGCGACAGTCGGTACTATAGCACTGCTGCTGCAATGCGGTTGTAACGGATTTCAATGCGATTGCAATTCGTTGCGATTGCAATCCTTTGCTGCTGGCGCCTAGGAGGGGGGGGGGGGGGAAACATTCAAACGATTATTTTTTGGTTTGTTCCCCCCCCGCCCCACGTGGTCACGTACCCGAGCCAGCGAGGTTCGCAGAACCGAGTTCCTCACCACGCGGCCATCCAGAAAGATTCGCACAGCGAGATTCGCGAACGTTAAAAAATGCTGTCGCTACTTTCGTGGACCCCTAGGAGGTCCCGTGGAGTGGTGCTTCACGTAGATCCGATTGAGGCCTCACCCTCCATGGATGCGGCCAACTGCGCAACTGACGCCGCTTTCGTGGGCCACTGGGAGGTCCGACAGAACGCGGCCGACCTGGCCTGCCTGTCGTCGTCGACCCGCTCCACGTGGCAGCCGTCGGGGTCGCTTCGACGTGTGGGAGTGACAGGAAGTGAAGGGCTGGAAGCGTCGACGTGCAGCGCTCGGCGAGGCTGCGGGGCATCACCACCGAAGGTCCTCGCCCACTGCAACGCGTGCGCAGGAGCCTCGGCACAGTGTCGGTGCCGCACCCTGGCCGCCAGGGCGCAGGCCGCGGGCGCCGTGGGGCTCCAGAGGCTGTTCAAAGGGTTCCGGGGGCTCTCCCAGAAGTCGTGGGGCTTTTCCCAAGGATTTTGGGCCACTCGGGCGAAGTGACACCCAGAAGCAAGGCATGGGCAGGGCGACTGTGAAGGCGATGTGCCATCTGGGCTGGAGATGTTGAGATGCTTTGGAAGAGGTGTTGTGAAGACCTCCTCGGGCGGAGGGCGCGGCCACGGCGGGGCTGGGCGGGGGAGTGGCAGCGACGGCGTCCTTCCACCGGATTCCTGGGCGGGCGGATTACTGCTGGGACGCAGGGTGCCGAACTTCCAATCCTGGCTGGCATGGGAGTGGCTGGCGAACCCAGAGTAGCGGCGGCCCCGAAGTGAGAGCTCGGGTCCGCGCTCCACACTGTGCTCTGGCACGGGCCCACGAGAAGGTCTGCTCCTCCGAGACCTCACAAACACGTGTCTCGCCATCGCTCGGACATCCATTCCCCGTGCACCTGTCGGTTTCGTGCGTGTAGTTTTCGCAAGATGACCTCACATGCTCCTCGACGGTCCTCGACGAGAAACATGCACACGCCCGAATGATGCCAAGATGTTGCCCCTGCAGGGGCTGGAGGAGGACGGCGAGGGTGACGACGGGGAACGGCAAGGCGGCGACGAGGACGTCGAGAGTAACGACGAGGGAGGCGAGCACGAAGACGGCGACGAAAAAGAAGAAGAGGAGGACGAGGACGAGGAGGAGGAGGAGGAAGAGGAGGAGGAGGAGGATGAGGAGGAGGACGGCGAGGACGACGGCGAGGATGTCGAGGACGACGGAGAAGACGAGGACCACGAGGGTGGACGGCGCGCAGGGCGACGAGGACGACGAGGGAGACGAAGACGGCGCTGATCACGATGGCGAGGAGGAGACCGCCGATTACGATGAGCACGAGGGCGGAGAAGGCGAGGCAGACGACAGGCGACGGCGAGAGACTCCTCTGCCCTGACGCGCTGCTTCAAGCAGGAGCGCTCGGCGCACAGAACCCGCAGCGGCTCCATGCCAGGCATGTCGCAGCTGAGCCTGCGAGGTGGGCCGGTCCTGCGAGCGAGCGCGGGGCCGTCGTCGTCGATATCATCGCCGCCGCCGTCGTCGGTTCTGGCACGTGTCGCTCGTCGTTCGCAGCTCGTCGCTCGACAACTCGTCGTTTTCCTCGACGTCGCGGACGTCGTTTGTCGTCCATCGTGGTTGCCATCGCTCGCTTGTCGTCGCTCGTCGTTCGTCGGAGGACGAGGGCGAGAATGCCGCCGTCGTCGTCGTCGTCGTCGTCGTCGTCGTCCTCGTCGACGGAAAACCCAAAAACATCCGACGTCGTCTTGTTTGTGCTTGTTTTGTTGAAGCGTCGCTCCCTAAAAAAGTGGGCTCCTTCCTGGGACCGGGCCCTCATCCTGAACCGTTCTTTGAGGGTCCCGCAGTCCCTGTGACAGCCCCTGGAACCCGAACACTGTCGAACACTTACTGTCGTGATTTGATACGACGCGAAGGTGTGGGAGGAGCCGGAGGAGGAGGAGGAGGAGGAGGAGGAGGAGGAGGAGGAGGAGGAGGAGGAGGAGGTGGAGGAGGAGGAGGAGAAGGAGGAGGAGGAGGAGGAGGAGGAGAGAGAGAAGACACGCTCGGTCGTAGCCGTCGCTGGCGCTGTCTATTCCCAATGGTCGCTCGTCTGGAAACCACGATGGTGGAAGAGAAACGACGTGCAAAGAAACTTTCGGAGGTCCGCGCCAAATTCTTGGATCGGAATTGAGGCCCCCCTTCCTGGCGCGCGGAGCGCGCCAGCGGCGGCTCAAGAGGCCCCGCCAGGGGGACCCATCGCAAATCCAGGAAATCCGCGCGGACAACCAGAAACTAATGTTGATGTAGTTTGTTTCCTCTTCTTCGTGTTAGGAACGCCGCGTAAGGAACGAAGGGGCTTTCCTGGCCACCGTGAACCTCGGCCCCGAATAGGTGGTCCCCGACCTAGACCTGAGGACCAGCCTGAACACCGGAGCCCCTCTAGAGCCCCACGGTGGCTCTGATTCCAGCGTCTGGATTCAATATCGAATGAGAGAAGAAATGTCGTTGTCGTCTCTGTCCAGTCACCCCATCCGCTACGCGAGGTGGGAACTCGCCTAAGCGCGTGCCCCTGCTTAGCGCATCGCGTCGGTGCTGCCACTTCGCCGCTGGAGGGCACACTTGTGGTTCGATGTTTTTTTTTCTCTCTTTCTGGTGTATCTTCGTCATCGCCGAGAGGAGAGGGAGGAGGAGGCGGAGGAGGATTTCATCCGCGATCCCATAGGGCCTGAACGATTTGAATCAAAACCGATGGGAGCATGCCGAAACGCGGCTGCTGTGAGCGCGACTCTATCGAGACCTGTTGGCAGTCCTTGCTGCCGCTTCAGCCTCGCGAGCAACCACTCGTGCCTGGAGCGCCAACGTGCCTCGGGCAGTCATCGCTCCAGAGCTGGGCGCAGGCAAACTTACATCTCGAGGCGGGTGCTGCTGCGCAACATGACAGAAGAACGCAACTCGCCTCGTGCTTTCACTGACCGTGGTTACTTCACGGTAGTGAGGGTACAGACCATAATACATTTTGCGCAGAGTGGTGGGAGCGCCCGACAGCGGGCGCTGGAGACACTCTCTGTCGAGCATCCACACGCGGTGCAGAAAACGATGATTAGCTGCTGCTCTCCTTCATCTGCGATACAGTGGGCCAGAGTGTGTCACAATGAACGGTCCAAAACACCCCTTCAGGTTCTGCTGGGGCCGTTACATCCTAACATGGATCGCGCCGAAACGTCCGAGGAGAGCTGGTGGCAATGCAAGCAACGCGCACGCCCAAGGCCGAGCTCCTGCCAAGCGTGCCATCCTCCTGATCTTAAAAACTTGGCTCTCGCACCGGTCGGCAACCGATCGAATATCTCCGCAAGGAACGCCGCCAACACTGTGCCAACAACCGTCGCAACGAAAATCAAAACTTACATTTCCTGACCTCTTCCTTTTTCATGCATACTGGGTTGGGGGCGAAGGAAGAGAGCCTGCTTGGCCCAGACGTCCGCGTTCCAATTACCTACTCCGATACGTCTCTCTGGTGCGGGTACTGCGTCCAGGACCTCACGATTGCGGTGCGCAGGAACGTGATGCACAAGTGGGATAATATCTCCTTCGTGCAGTAAAGCTCCGCGTCGAAGACCAACATATCTATGCTTACGAGAAAATTGAAACTGTCTGGAGGCGCCCCACAAACGGACCACGTTCATGCAGTCGGAATGTCGGCCACCTTGCTCCTGGAACATTGGGAGCAACGCCATGCACAAATGTCCAGCAGCTTGAGAGGTCTGAGGAAGGACGTCAAGCACCGTTCCTTGCGCATACGCAATGGTGGTATCACCAGAGCCCAGAGAGACACAGTAATAAGCAACCCTGGAAAACTCCCGAATCGTATGGCGAAAAGCCGAACCGTCCATAACCACTTCGCATCCCGAGAGATCGAGGGAACGCCAATCAGCTATTTCCCCTTCAGGAGTGTAGAGGATGGGGTTGGGAGCGGAAGCGGGTGGGGGATAGGTGTCCCCGGGTGTTCTCATTTCAGCTCAGCAGAAAACAACACATTCTCACTTTCCAGAGCCTCGGCGAACTATTCAGTAGGGGCGTCATCTGTAACGCTCCTCCGTGCTGCAACGGCCTCTGGGCGTAAACATTGCCAAGCTCGATGTGGAACACTGTCGAGAAAACCGCACAGGAGGGCACACACCGTCGCACTGATATCCAACTGCCTGGGCACGCGATCGAGTCCAAATACCCTTACAGAAGACACTTAACGCCGTGCTTTTCTGGTGCGGGGTCAAATGGCACCCTCTTGGGCCCAACACTTTCTTGAGGGGGTCCACACACAACCGAACGACACTGGCCCCAAAGGTTCTCGACACAGGACTCGCTCATGCTTTTGTTGGACTGCGAGCCGCACCATGTTGGAAACTAGCGATGGCGATGCGTATCCAAGATGCACCTCGCGATCGTAACCAACTAGTGAGGAGGAGGAGGAGGAGGAGGAGGAGGAGGAGGAGGAGGAGGAGGAGAAAGAGGAGAGGAAGGAGGAGGAGGAGGAGGCGCGTTCAGCTGGGAGGGGTAGGTGATGTGGCATCTCGCGCGCCCGCGGGCCGCGGCCATGCCCCAGCTCACGCCCTCACGACGAGAATGCTCCCAGCGCGGAGCCTCCCCCTCGGAGGGGGTGCCATACCCCGACCTTGGGAGGTAGCTCTGGTCAAAATTTTGGGGGAGGAGGAGAAGGAGGGAGGAGGGCGGATGATGATGATGAGGATGATGGTGATGATGCTGATGCTGCTGCTGCTGCTACTGCTGCCGATGAAGATGCTGCCGATTATGATTGTGATGCGGATGATGATACCGATTATGGTCATGATGAGGATGCCAATGATACTGCTGCTGCTGGTGATGAAGGCGATGAAGACGGTGATGATGATGGTGGTGGTGATGATGGTGACGGTGTTGCTGCTGCTGGTGATGATGATGGTTATGCTGCTGCTGCTGATGGTGAAATGGAGGACGAGAAGGAGGATGAGGAGGAGGAGGAGGAGGAGGAGGAGGAGGAGGAGGATGAGGATGTTGAGCGCATTGGGGGGCAGGCTCCGAGCGACAAGCCACGATAAGGCTCGAGGCGTCTCCTGGCCCCTGCGAAGAATATGGATGCAACAGCCACGCGATTTCACATGGCCTGCCGGCCATGAACGAGCATGGGCCGACTGCCCTGTGCGCGCTGGTGACGTGAGCGGAACCCACCCCCAGACTGGAAATCGGGAAAGAGGTCGCGGTCTGCCAGGCCCAGTGGGGACAAGACCAGGGCGTGACAGCCCCCGAGAGGGTCGTGAGTTCGCAGCCCCGAGGTGGGGCAAGGCGCAAAGGAACGAGGAGCAAGAAAGATAGGAGCGAGGAGCAAGTCGGGCGAGCAGAAGAGGGCAGTGGGGGATGAGGCGAGGGCGGAAGGCAGTGAAGCCGCAAGCCGAGTAGAGAGAACGAGCGGGGCTGCGGGTGGACGTTGACTCGAACGCGGCACAAAAAAAACCGAATCCGACAGGGGAAACTTCGACATCGGCTGCGGGCTCGACGCGCCAAATGCGCTTCAAATTTTACTGTTCACTTCCAATTCTCCTCAATTTCCGACGCGCCGAATGCGCGCCGTCAAGCTCATTCACGTATATTTTTTATTCTACCTATTTCTCCTCCCACGCTGTAATGGTGCTTTTTCTCGTGGCAATCTTTCTTCTTTCTTCACCCTATCTGGCAGCGTGTGCAATCCTCCTCTGGCACGGCTCCTGATTTGCACGATTGTGCCAGGCACCAGCACATGATCAAGTGCTTCCTGTCTTTCGGCTTTGCGAAAGAGGCAAATGACTGTGCAATTCAACAAGATATGCAATGCATTTTTCTCCACACTATAATTTTTCATAGTGTGCGATCTGCCCTCCGATACAATCCAGAATTGGTTTGGCTGCCTTCGGCTCTTCACTTGAGAGGCAAGGGCCCTCCACGGGCGAATACAGCTCAACGAAACTGAACCGATTGCTCTTGACTTGAAAAGCACCCAAGCCCACCCAATGTTGCAGAGCGTATGCAATTTGATTGTCCATAAACTTGTCTGCGATTTGTTTGCGAATCTCCAGGGAAACATGCGGGTCACCTTGCTTGATAAGACTATGCACCTGATCCAGTAAGCAAACGGGGTCCCAAACACAAGGCTGCTCCGGAGCCTCCGGCTTCTTCCGAACATTTTTTTGTAATTCGACCTTTGCCCGTAACATCCACATTTGTAGTATCCGTTGCAACATGTACTTTGTCTGTACCATAACTGCAGCTTTACTTCACATCTTGCGCCTTCTCCAATGCGAATACAACTCACGCTGAGAAGCGAAGTATTATTTGTCGCAACATCGATGCAGTGGCCCTTCCCATCAACGCTGAGGGGGGGCCAATATTATCATAATTTTCTCCGAATGCATTGCCCCTGAGAAAATACCTTCCCTTTTGCCCCTGCTCTCCTGGGTCTAAGTTGGAGTACAATCTGGCTTGAAAGCACGGGTGAGCCAAGCACTAAAAGAAGGCAAACAATACATATCATTTGAACGCTTCTCTTTGTCTTCATCACCTTCATGTGCTTGGCCATATATGTATGCCTCATTTGTCACATCGGCCTTAGCAAACAGCAAAGAAACGTCTGTCTGGAGTCAATCTCCAAGTGGTGCGCTCGTGCAAGATGTGCAAGATATAATATCTGTAGAGTGGCTCTCTGGGCATGGCGGGCGTGGGTCCGTCGGATTCGCATCCTGCGCTGCATGCTTGCAGTCACACGTGAAGCCGGCGGCACGCTTGACATGAAACTTCAACCCGAGCGTACAGTAAACGGATCTGTGTGTCTAGGGACCCCCTCCTCCCCCTGGCCTGCGGAGTCGGGTAGCCCTGCGGGGTTCGAAGAACCTTCTCTGCTGACCCCTCTGTCGGGTCGGGGCCCTGCCGACAAGGAGGAGGAGGAGGAGGAGGAGGAGGAGGAGGAGGAGAAGGAGGAGGAGGAGGAGGAGGAGGAGGAGGAGGAGGTCGTCGTGACCGTCGCCGTCGCCGTCGCCGTCGCCGCCGACGTCGCCGTCGTCGTCGTCGTTGTCGGAAACAGAACGGTCCTCTCCAGCCACATCTCGCCACGCGCCGAACCGCGGCGCCTGGCGTCCAGCGCGGCTCTGGCCAGGGGCTCGCCATCTGGCGCGCGCGCGCGAGGCCCCGGGCTGCGACCATGGTCCCAGCTCGGCTTGTTGAGGGAGACGTGCTGCCAAATGTTTTAGGCCACCTAATTTTGCGCATCACGTCCCGCCATGCGCGACGCGCGATTATCTTCGCGTTGTCGCGCCACCGCTCTGGAAAACGGCGCCTCTCCAACCCAAGCCCCGATGTGCGAAGCAAGATTATCTTCGCGCCCCTGGGGGCGACCTAGGATCTCCGACTATCAGAGTGAGCGGGCTGGACAGTCTTGCACCATCCCTGGGTGCGGGGGTGAAGATGCATCTGGTGGTCCGGATTCTGTTTGTTTGTTTGTTTGTTTGTTTGTTTGTTTATTGTTTGTCATTGTTGAACCCTCATGTCTGAAGAATCATTATTGTTGATCCCCCCTCCAGGGCATGTGATGTTTTTTCAACTGAAGTGCCCCTCCTAGGGATCGCACCGCGTTTTTTTCAAGGGACAGCCTTGAGCCTCAAGCTGTTCCCATGGACCCCGGTTTGCGACAACAGCGGCTCCCCGTTGATACACATCCGCACAATTTATTATGAATCGCGCTCTCGCGCGGGACTTCGCCACAGTTCGCTCAGGAATTGCGCTGTTGGGTGGGACTTCCTCACGATTTACTTATGAGTCGAGCTATCGCTAGAGAATCCTTTGCGAATCATGAAGGACTGACGCTTCGGCGACCTGCCCGCTCGACCCGGCAGTCTGGGCCAGCACGCACGACTCGCCCATCAGGGCCCGTTCGCCCGACCCGCCCGTCTGGTTCAGCCGCTTGCTTTCCCGCTCTTAACCCCCTAGTGCTAATCTCTCCCGTGCTCCATTATTCTCCCTACCGCTTGACTCCCTTTCCTCCTCCCGCCCTTCTCCGATCTTCAGGAGCTGCTCCAGATAGGCGCGACAGAAAAAACATACCCCCCGAGGGGGTGCTACGATCGAATACGATTAGGGTGGGTATCGAGGGTTTCGGGTACACATGTTGAACGACACGCGAACTATTCAGAGCGAAACGTGTTTAACACGGTTCATGTTGTTGTGTGAACAAGCACGGACCTACACCTCTCCTTCGTGTTGTTATTGTTGTTTTTGTGATTGTTGTTATGGCTCGTATTGTTGTTGTCCTTACTGCTGCTGATGTTGCTGTTGCTGTTGTTGATGTTGTTACTGCTGCTGTTGCTGTTGCTGTTGCTGTTGTTGTTGTTGTTGTTGTTGTCGCTGCTGTTTTTGTTGTTGTTGGTGTTGTCGTTGTCGTTGTCGTTGTCGTTGTCGCTGTTGTTGTTGCTGCTGTTGTTGTTGTTGCTGTTGCTGTTGCTGTTGTTGTGGTTGTTGTTGTGGTTGTGGTTGTGGTTGTGGTTGTTGTTGTTGTTGATGTTGTTGCTGTTGTTGTTGTGGTTGCTGTTGTTGTTGTTGTGGTTGCTGCTGCTGTTGTTGTTGTTGTTGTTGTTGTTGTTGTTGTTGTTGTTGTTGTTGTTGTTGTTGTTGTTGTTGTTGTTGTTGTTGTTTGTTGTTCCCCACATGTTTCGTGGGGTTTTGGTTTTCATCACTGCCGCGTCGCACCCGCGTCTCCCGCACACGCACATACCTCCCCTCCCTCCTCCTTCCTCCCCCTCCTCCACTTCCTTCTCCCTTCGCCCACACGCAACCCATGCACGGCACGAACATCAGACACGCGTTTGCATGCAAAAAACATTCATGCATACACTCGCACACACACAGGCACCATACAAAACTAGTGCATGCCTGGCGTGCTCACTGCGTCATACACCCACGACGTATGTGCTACAACATGGGCAAACCCATGACACACACGCCCACGTACAGCCCGACACACATCTCATATCGTGCCTCTTCTCGATGCCACCAAAGGGGTGCGCTGGGGATGCCGTCGTTGTTGCGGGCCCACAAAGCTTGGCAGGCGTTGCACTTCCTCGACGCCACAGGGGGTGCGCTGGCGGTGCGGTCGCTACCCGCTTCGGCCTCGCACAACGTGGCAGGCGTGGCACTTTCTCGGTGCTACAAGGGGTGCGCTGGGAATGGTGTCGCTATCCGTTTCGGCCTCGCAAAGCGTGGCAGGCGTGGCACTTCCTCGACGCCACAGGGGGTGCGCTGGGTGTGCGGTTGCTACCCGCTTCGGCCTCGCACAACGTGGCAGGCGTGGCACTTTCTCGATGCTACAAGGGGTGCGCTGGGAATGTGGTCGCTATCCGTTTCGGCCTCGCAAAGCGTGGCAAGCGTGGCGCTTCCTCGACGCCACAGGGGGTGCGCCGGGGGAACGATCACTATGCGTTTCGGGCTCGCAACGTGTGGCAGGCGTGGCACTTTCTCGATACCACAAGGGGTGCGCTGGAGGTGCGGTCGCTATCCGTTCCGGCCTCGCAAAACGTGGCAGGCGTGGCACTTTCTTGACGCCACAAGGGGTGCGCTGGGGGTGCGGTCGCTATCCGTTTCGGTCTCGCAAAGCGTGGCAAGCGTGGCACTTTCTCGACGCCGCGGGGGGTGCCCTGGGAATGCGGTCGCTATCCGTTTCGGCCTCGCAAAGCGTGGCAGGCGTGACACTTCCTCGACGCGAGAAATACGACGAGAAATATTTTAAAAAATAACATCCAACTTAGATGGCATCAGTAACGATGGGAGAAAGCGTTTCCTGGGCGTTTGCCCTGGGAACATTCGGCGGCGCGTTTGGAACCGGGGGGACTCACCTTTCTCCCGAAGCCCCTCCCTCCCGACCCCCCCCCCCCTCCCTTCAAACCCCCCCCCCTGGCGCCGGCGCCAGCGGCCGCCAGCAGCGCCGACGGCGGGGACGCAGCGACGATGACCAGAGGCAGCCCAAGGGGGGGGGCTTTCAACCCCCCCCCCCCTGGCGCTGGCGCCGGCGCTGGCGGCGGCCAGCAGCGCCGGCGCTGGCGCCGGCGACAGCGGGGACGCTGCAACGAGAACCATCACTAGCACCACCACCACCACTACCACCACCATCACCAGCTCAACCCACCATCACCACCAACAACCCACCACACCACCACCACCACCACCACCACAGCCACCACCACCACAACTCACCATCGCCACCACCATCACGAAAACCCACCACCAGTACCACCACCACTACCACCGCAATCTACCACGCCACCGCCACCACCGCCATAACCACCACCACTACCAGCAGCACAACCCACCGCCACCACCACAGACCACCACACCACCACCACCACCACCACCGCCGCCACCACCACCACCAGCACCACTTCCACAAACCACCGCAAAACACCACAACCCACCACTATCACCACCACAAATCACAACCACACCACCACCAAACCACCAGCACCAGCACCACAATCCACCACCACCAACACCACCACAACCCACCACCACCACCACCACCACCGCCACCACTAACAAACACCACGCCACCACCACCACCACCACCACCACCACCACCACCACCACCACCACCACCACCACCACCACCACCAGCCACCACAAACAACCACCACCAGCACAACAAACCACCACACCACCACTACCACAACCACCACCACCGCCACCACCACCACAGCCACCACCACCACCGCCACAACCCACCACCACCACCGTCGTTCTCGTCGACGCTTCCCGCCGCCGCCGCCCGCCGCCGCAGGCGCCGGCGCCGGCCCAGAAAAACAAATCTTCGTCCCCACCGCCGCCGCCAGCCGGGGGGGGAGATGGGGGGGGGTTCGAAACCACCCCCTTCCGTCACGGGAGGGGGGGGAGGGGGTCCGGTTCCCCCCCCCCCTCCAAGCGACTACAGAACGCGCTCTTGTATAACAGGAGAGCTAACAATAACACGAATCATATGATGAGTAGTATTCGTATTAGTATCGTTATCATTATTATTATTATTGCTATTGTTATTACTACTATTATCATCATTCATATAAATATAATTCGGATTAGTTTTTTATTATCATTACTACTACTACTACTACTACTACTACTACTACTACTACTACTACTACTACTACTACTACTACTACTACTACTACTACTACTACTACTATTAGTATTATTACTATTATTAATGTTATTATTATTATTATTATTAGTATTAGTATTATTATTATCTTTATTATTATTGTTATTATTATTCTTATTATTATTCTTCTTCTTATTATTATTACAAGGGGCACGCGTGCCAAGGATCATACAATGACGATGTGGGTCCATGGGAGATGGAGAAAACCAGGGATCGCGAGGGAGGCAGTCCTTGGCAGGCGCCGGGAAGCGCGCCGCAATTGCTGCGACACGTTGGAAGGGACAGATTCGAAGACGGGAAGGGGCGGCTAGAAGCATGTCAGTTTGGGCATGGAGGAAGGTCGCCGCCGCCCGCCGCTCGGTGAGCGAGCCTCGGGCCCGAGGCGAGGATGAGTGGCCTGGGCCAGCCTCGGGTCGGAGGCGAGGACGGTGAGGCGGAGGAGGAAGCGGAGGGGGAGGGGGAGGAGGGAGCGCGGAGCCCGCGGCCGGCCGCTTCCTCACGACGGAAGGCGGCATGGTGGAGCCAAAACGGCTACAGAAAGAATCGCCACGGCTATGGAACCCCCCACGGCGCTTGCAGAGGTAAGGGTGCGTTGGGCCCTGTCGCATCCTGCGAAGAAAGTCGCCGGCCCCATGGGCCACGGGCGTGCTGAGATCTCCGGGAACTGCTTCCGAATATTTCTAGTTCGCGCGCGCGCGGGGGGGTCTCTGGGGGGCCCCAGACGAAAAGTACTCCGAGCCAGCCCTGGGCAAATCGGGTCAGAGATGGTGTTCCTCCTGGGCGCCGCCCTCAGGGCCACCTAAGAGCACGGTCGGTCGGAATAAGGGGACGGGAGCGCAGGGGGGGGGGCGGGAGGGGGCACAGTCGGCCGGAATAAGGAGAGGAGTGCAGGGGGGGAGCGGGGGGGGCGGCACGGTCGGTCGGAATAAGGGAGGTGGGCGCAGGGGGGAAGCGGGGGGGGGGGCCACGG